ACCCGTGCCCGGCGTGAGTTTTAAGCCACTGGGTCTGGGACGCGAACCACAGTCGACTCTATGGGAGCCCAGCGACATAGCCATTATGCTAACTGCTGGTCTCCCTCACATTTCTCATAGAGAGAGACTTGTAAGATCTGACTGACTGAAGGAAAGGAAGGGGTGGACTAAGTTTCCAGCACTTTTTGAAAGTTTTTCTTTGTCTTTGTGTTTTAGGATTGCCTGGAGTTGTGTGTGTGTAAATTAGACATCTTATATTGCCATGTCACTATGTAGTCGCACATGCCTTTCTAGCAATGTAAATCATGTGTGTGTGTGTTTTTTTCAGGAGGAAGAAAACAAAATATAGAACCCAGATTTTTACTAACCAAAGAGGACTTTTTATCCAATTTTGACATTTTTAAGAAAGTAAGTTGGCTTTCATTTACCTTTAATTAGGATGGGGCTTTAATCACCGGGATAGAATGTTAGTGAGTCCTCAGTCTCTTTTTTCTTTTTCTTAGTTTGGTGTAGACATCCTGATGTCTTACTTTACTTAAAATTCATTATCTGCAGAATGAACTTTGTGATTAAATTATTTGCCAAGTCCTTTAAGTTGCCTTTATCTGTGACTTAGATGAATGTACCCTTGTTAAAAATAAAATATTTTCAATAAAATATAATTATGCAAGCAATAAAACCTTTTTAAAAAACATATCCACACAGATGGTATAAACTATGATTTTTTATTAATATCTAATAATCGTACATACTTGCGGAGTATGACATGATTTTGCAGTTCAAGAATGCAGTACGTAGTGATCAAATCAGGGTAATTAGTATATCCATCACCTCATGCATTTGTCATGACTTTATGTTAGGAACATTGAAAAGCTTCTGTTTTCCTTACTTGGAGATATACAGTAAATTGCCATTTAATAATATTCATCCTACTGTGTTCTATAACACCAGAAATTAATCCTTTTATCTATCTATAATTTTGTTTTCATTAGTCTACTTCACTCTAACTCCATCCCTCCCAACCTTTCCAGTCTCTAGTAGTCATTTTTCAACTCTTTATTTCTATGAGATGGTTTTCTGTTTCTCATAGGTCATTTTCTCCTTTCTCTTTCTGTGACTGGCTAATTTCAGTTAACCTAATAGTCCTCCAGGCTTACCTATTTAACTTCAAATGACATGATTTCATTTTTTAAAAGGTTTTTACTATAGGGCACATGTGCTCACTGGAGAGAGACAGAGAGACAGTGAGAGGGCAAGTGTGAGCAGTCACCCCCCAGAGGGTATAGCCATGCCGTAACCCCTTCTCCTCATTCTCCTCTTGGGAGAACAAATATATAAAGGTCATATATATATCACATTCTCTTCTATTAATCTGTTTGTGGACACTTAGGTTGATTCTGTATCTTGGCCATTGCGAACAGCACTACAATAAACAGAAATAAAGATGGGGTGCATCTTTCTGACAAACTGATATCCTTTCCTTTGGATGTCTACCTAGGATCAGATTGCTGGATCATATGACAGTTCTGTTTTTAGTTTTTATTTTTTACTGTGTCCCATAATGTCTGTCTTTCCCTTTAATAGTGACAAAGAAGGCATATTCTCTTTCATGATCTATATCTGCTGTATATATGTATCCTCTGAGAAGTGTAGTTGTGGTATCTCTCTCTCCCTCAGCAGATTATGGAGCAGATTTAGAGACATAAAAACAATACTAATAATTAGAATGGAATGATTATGACTGAATACCTTTTATTTTTTTCTAATCACCATGTTCACATTTTCTTTCAGGAGAAAAATAATTTAAGCTATAAGTCACATCCAGTGGAAGATGGTGGGACTGATAATCCTGCCTTCAATCATATTGAATTGAACCTCACAGACCACAGTGGCAAGATCAACGGCACTCGTTTGTGAAGCAGTTCTGATACTGGAGGATCTTAAATAGTGTCTCAGTTTTGTTTTCTAAGACAATTGGATCAGGTTTCGATTTTTTTTTTTCCCGTCATGAGCGTTTTGGGGCATAAATTTTTGCTAGAGCAAAGTCCTGACTTTCTTCCCATACTATACTCATTGATTGACATCTAACTGATTGACACAACTCTATAGCTTAGAGTGTCAGCATCGGCAGTTCCTTCTCTGTTAATTCGATGAAGCTGTAGTTGGGAGAATAAAGACTCCAGTTATGCTGAAAGGTTAATATACCCTTATACACATGATCCTTGATATTCAAAGGCATATTCTTAAATTTGGGCATTATCGAAAAGATTTTTCATGCCTCTGGTGCTAGTATGTTTTGGGGTTTGTCAAAACCATAACTAATATTGAAATGAGTTTTTTACCCTCTTACCCCATGCTCTATTCTTAGGGGTGATGAGGTGACAGGCCTTTCTCCTCGTCTCTGTCAATCTCTGGCGAGTGCACATGCCCTTTGGCACTCAACAAAGCACAGGAGGAACTGCTGCCTTGGAGGCATTGCCAAGGCTGCGGCTCTAATTGTTGCACCAGGATGGTCTTCTTACTGGACTAGATGAATAAACTATTAAAACTTAGCACATAGCTAACACTTTGGATAATGCATACTTCTTTCATTTGTTTAAATCTTTGCTTCATATCAGCCAGGGCACATATTAACCTTGGAACTGATTTTAGCTCAGAAAGATTGTAATCGAGAAGTATCCTGGCTAGGAAAAAAACATGGGCCCAATGGCCCAGTGCTGAAGGTCTTGGTGCTATGCATCTGTTTTTGTGCCTTTTGGTTTGGATATATCTTCAGCCGAGCAACGTGAATCATGTTGCTGGTATCCCGGCTCTCCAAGTCCTAGTCTATAAATTTTAAACTCCTATGAGCCTGGTACTGACTAATACTTAACATAGGACTTATGGATTTGGTGATCCAAGAGCATCATCTTATTAAAAATGATTATGTGCCACAGAGTTTGATGATTATTTTAATGATGTTATTAAGCTGAAATTTTGAGCATCAACTGACTTGTTATCAATTCAATTTAAAGGTACATATGCTTAGAAATCTTGAAATTTTTACATATCCATCTAGTTAAACAGCTAAATTACATAGGCAAATGCTTTTTTATGGTCCAGATTTAATATATGCTTTTTTTCATGTTTTTAAAATTTCAAGCCATGTTCTCAAACTTGCTTAGCCATTTATTTCACTGTGTTCCTAAGAGTTTGGTGAGAGGATTTTAGCACTAACTTATTTTTTCTCTATAATGCACACATTAGATGCTCTTTAAAATTTTTTTTTAAAACTTTTTAATGTTTTCAAAAATGATAAGAGAAGTATTTAGATATATTCAAATATTTATAATTAATTAATTAAACAATTCTGTGCTTCTTGTCTGATCCACACTATTTAATTAACCACACTCTGTGCATGCAGAGATTGCTAAAGACAACATTAAAGGGACCAGCAGTTAGCGTAATGGCTATGTTGCTGGATTCCCATGCAGCTGACCGCGGTTTGAGGGCCAGATCCAGTGGCTTAAAGTCACGCTGGGCGCGTGTGTGTGTGCGTGCCCAAGATTTTAAGAGGAGAACAGAGGAGAAGGGATTGTGGCGTGGCTATTCCCCTGGGGGAATGATTTCTCACTTTCTGTCTCTCTGTCACTCTCTGTCTTTCTGGTGAGCACATACGCCCTATAGCAAAAACCTCTCCAAAAAAATAAAAAAAGACAACATTAAAGAAAAAAAAAATAGGAGGTAGCATTTATCTAAAGCAAAGAGGTTTTATATAACATTTAAATAAACTGTATATTCATATATTGTATGTATCAATGTTACTTTTAATCATTATATTTATAAGCAAACATCAAATCTTGTGACTTTTTCTACAATGTTTTAATGAGTAGGAAGATATAATCTTGCCTTTACAAGTGTGATTTGAACTTTCATTATTTATTGAATAAGTCCAAATATGTATGTGCATAGAATGCTTTAATTTTGGTTATCAGAATCAGGTTATTTGAATAACTTTTATCTTGAATTACACAGTGTATTCTTAATGCAAAATATGATAATTCCATATTACATTTCTTATCAACTTTCCTTTAGGCATCTATGTATCTTCGTGACATTTGGACCTATCAATGTTTTATATTTATAAACACATTAGAATGTCAGATAGAATTGTTAAGGTAGCAAAGTGATATTATTATGAATTAAAAAGAATTTGTCTTCATTTCTAAATTTTAGTATATTGGGTCATCATAAAAGTCCCGATGCATTTTGCATAGAAAAATATGTCAAACTTTTCTAACAACCCAATAAAACCCAAATGGGGGTAAAATGCTCATGTCTCATAATGCAAATTAAATAATCTGCTGCTCTTGGTTATTTTGAATAACAAAAATCTCTAGTGGGAGGAAGCCACCCTAGTTATTTGTCTGTTTTGCTGTTGATCAGTTGTATATCCTTTAATTTATCCTTAATCTTCTTTAATAATAGTACCTAACACTAAAGTTGTGCCTACCTCACAGAAATATTGTATTAAAGATTAGATTGAGCTCTTTGGCAGAATAGCACTTTATTAACTTAAATAATGTTACTTATATTTCAATATGATTGGGAGACATTTGGGATGAAGGTAATTTGCTAGCTTTTTTAAAAAAATGAATTGCTATGGTATAGAGATAGTGTCTTCTCTGAAAAGTGTGTGCATAGGCATGTTTTTAAAATTTCAAGCCATGTTCTCAAACTTGCTTAGCCATTTATTTCACTGTGTTCCTAAGAGTTTGGTGAGAGGATTTTAGCACTAACTTATTTTTTCTCTATAATGCACACATTAGATGCTCTTTAAAATTTTTTTTTAAAACTTTTTAATGTTTTCAAAAATGATAAGAGAAGTATTTAGATATATTCAAATATTTATAATTAAATAATTAAACAATTCTGTGCTTCTTGTCTGATCCACACTATTTAATTAACCACACTCTGTGCATGCAGAGATTGCTAAAGACAACATTAAAGGGACCAGCAGTTAGCGTAATGGCTATGTTGCTGGATTCCCATGCAGCTGACCGCGGTTTGAGGGCCAGATCCAGTGGCTTAAAGTCACGCTGGGCGCGTGTGTGTGTGCGTGCCCAAGATTTTAAGAGGAGAACAGAGGAGAAGGGATTGTGGCGTGGCTATTCCCCTGGGGGAATGATTTCTCACTTTCTGTCTCTCTGTCACTCTCTGTCTTTCTGGTGAGCACATACGCCCTATAGCAAAAACCTCTCCAAAAAAATAAAAAAAGACAACATTAAAGAAAAAAAAAATAGGAGGTAGCATTTATCTAAAGCAAAGAGGTTTTATATAACATTTAAATAAACTGTATATTCATATATTGTATGTATCAATGTTACTTTTAATCATTATATTTATAAGCAAACATCAAATCTTGTGACTTTTTCTACAATGTTTTAATGAGTAGGAAGATATAATCTTGTCTTTACAAGTGTGATTTGAACTTTCATTATTTATTGAATAAGTCCAAATATGTATGTGCATAGAATGCTTTAATTTTGGTTATCAGAATCAGGTTATTTGAATAACTTTTATCTTGAATTACACAGTGTATTCTTAATGCAAAATATGATAATTCCATATTACATTTCTTATCAACTTTCCTTTAGGCATCTATGTATCTTCGTGACATTTGGACCTATCAATGTTTTATATTTATAAACACATTAGAATGTCAGATAGAATTGTTAAGGTAGCAAAGTGATATTATTATGAATTAAAAAGAATTTGTCTTCATTTCTAAATTTTAGTATATTGGGTCATCATAAAAGTCCCGATGCATTTTGCATAGAAAAATATGTCAAACTTTTCTAACAACCCAATAAAACCCAAATGGGGGTAAAATGCTCATGTCTCATAATGCAAATTAAATAATCTGCTGCTCTTGGTTATTTTGAATAACAAAAATCTCTAGTGGGAGGAAGCCACCCTAGTTATTTGTCTGTTTTGCTGTTGATCAGTTGTATATCCTTTAATTTATCCTTAATCTTCTTTAATAATAGTACCTAACACTAAAGTTGTGCCTACCTCACAGAAATATTGTATTAAAGATTAGATTGAGCTCTTTGGCAGAATAGCACTTTATTAACTTAAATAATGTTACTTATATTTCAATATGATTGGGAGACATTTGGGATGAAGGTAATTTGCTAGCTTTTTTAAAAAAATGAATTGCTATGGTATAGAGATAGTGTCTTCTCTGAAAAGTGTGTGCATAGGAATATTGGAATACATTTAGGAGCCAGCAAGAGAACTTCAATAGAGAGGTAAGCTATAAGAAAGGCACAGATCAGTCACATTTACTACACAGAGAAATGAAATGTTTATAGATAAGATGTAGAACCGTGTAAATTCACAATTATCTGTTTGATGGCTTATGCAATCTTTCTTTTCCTTTTTTCCCTCCAGATCAGTGGTTCTCAACAGGTATTATTTTGCCCCCAGGGGACATTTGGCAATGCCTGGAGACATTTTGGGTTGTCACAGTTGGGGAGAGGTGCTACTGGTATCTAGTGGGTAGAATTCAGGAAAGCTGCTCAACATTCCATGAGGCAAGACAGCTTCCCTCCCCCACAACAAAAAATTACTCAGCCCAAGATGTCAATAGAGTTTAAGAAACCTTACCTGAGAGCCGGCAGGTGGAGTGGTGGTTTAGGCACTGAACTCCCCACATGGCCAGCCACAGCTTGCTTTCTCATTTTCTCTTTCTCTCTGCTCAAATTAAAAAGTAATAATGACAAATAAAATTAAATGAAGAAATAATTAAATATATAGATATATTTAAAAAAACCCAACCTGGACGCGAAGGTTGATGTTCCTGAAATCACATGATCTGGTCGTGTTCAGTTAGGACAATGGCCGACACTTCTGTTAGTTCCCATCTATAGCCAAGGATGAAAATACCACTTGCATACAGAATGCTGTAATGCAGAATAATGACCATATGTGTTATAGCATTGTGATAATAGTAAGGATATAGAATTATGACATGAGTCTTAGAATAGTTTAGTTTCCCCACATGGTTTCTAATATGGACATGCATTAGGAAGAAGGAAATATTAAATGTATGGCTATAAAGGTTTCATAATCTTGTTTTACTTATGAAAACTACTGAAAGTGTAGTATAATTTTGTTTTGTTTATAAAGAACTGAGTGTTTGTGGTGTAGATATTCAAGCTTGGGTTGAAATGGGGGAAGTAACTCAGTGTTGATTCTTACAGGAAATGTTGATTTTTTTTTTTTGAGAGGTTTTTGCTATAGGGCGTGTGCGCTCGCCAGACAGAGAGAGAGAGACATAGAGACAGAAAGCGAGAAATCACTCCCCAGGGGAGATGGTCCCTTCTCCTCCATTCCCCTCTTGGGATCTTGGGCACGCACGCACATGCGCCTGGCGTGAGTTCTAAGCCACTGGATCCGGGATGTGAACCACGGTCGACTACGTGGGAATCCAGCGACATAGCCATTATGCTAACTGCTGGTTCCCAGGAAATGTTGAGTTTTTCATAAAGATTGTTGATAGTCAACTGAGTGTATGATATGACCTTTAGCTATTGAAAATTCACTTACTGTATGCTTATTTTTTTGTGCCTACTGTTTAGGAAAATCTTGCAAATTGAACAATGTAAAACACAGTTACAAATGTGATATTTTTAACTTGATAAATATCTCTACACGTGACTTTGCAATCATCTGTTTCTGGAGGGATAAATGTCAATATAATTCATTTCATCAGTCTTTACAGGAAAGTATTTCTATCCTCTTTATCAAATAAAGAATTCTTAAGTGGTGCATAGAGAGGTTTTTGCTATAGGGCGTGTGCGCTCGCCAGACAGAGAGAGAGAGACATAGAGACAGAAAGCGAGAAATCACTCCCCAGGGGAGATGGTCCCTTCTCCTCCATTCCCCTCTTGGGATCTTGGGCACGCACGCACATGCGCCTGGCGTGAGTTCTAAGCCACTGG